CCATTGCTGCCTTGCACACTTAAACACAATGCTGAGAACAATCCTAATGTGTGTGTGTGTGTGTTTTAACAGGCATGTAGTTCAGAGCATCTGAGCTGCTGTGTGTGTGTTTTGTTTGGCTGTATAGTCTGATGGTTAAGTCACTTGTCTCCTTTGTGAGAGAGCAGGATTTAATCCCATCTCAGTGAAGAAGCTCTCATTGGGCTTCTAACAGTTTGGGTCGGTTATGTAATGAAGTCTCTCTGGCGCTGTGTTTATAAGTTAATTAGCTCTGTTTTGTCATTGCATCTCTAACAATTTGTTTTTTGCGTAAACTTGTATTGCCACAATTGTAAACATATAATATATAATGCTCTGTTCAGTGTACAAGGACGTTGGAATTTGGTGTACAACACCTTGAGTTTGATAATAAAAGAATAGTTTGGGGAGGGGTTGAAGGGTGAATTTCAACATGCTAAAAGGCTAATGTTGCTAATAAGTGAAGGAAGCTTATACTAGCATGGTGCTAAAACTCCATCCCTAAATCAAAGTGTGTGGAGTTGTTCAGTAATCTTTAAGACTTTATGTGGTTTCTGATACTGTATTACACACTGTAAACTATACGTATGGACTAAAAAAACAGTAGCATAGCTAAACACAGTAGCAGCTTCTTGAAGCCTGAATTTTGTCTGAACTTTTATATTTACATTTACGTCATTTGGCAGACACTCAGAGCGACTTACAATGTAAGCATTTTTACACAAATAGGCGAAGGTAGTGTTAGGAGTCTTGCCCAAGGACTATTGGTATAGTGTAGAGTGCTTACTCAGGTGGGGGGATTGAACCCCAGTGTACAGCGTAGAGGCCAGCGGTGTTACCCACTACACTTTTGTCTGTTATTATCAACTACACAAGTACAGGGAAATGTGGAAGGATGTCACTATGCAACACTTTACAGCATATTGTGTTGTATTGAATTGCATTGTTGAATCACGAATAGCATGTTAGCTTAAGGCTAGTGTGTTAGCTTGGGTCTAATATATTGGGATGTAGCTATAGAATTAGATCAGGACACTATAAAGCACAACTTTTGTTGCAAATTTTGGAGTTTTGTGATGTTAAAGTGCTCAAATAAACTGAAATGGAAAGTAACATATTAAGCCCCATTTTTAGCCCCTCCTTATTTTTGCTGTATTGAAAAATGTATCAAATTGAGACACCACCATATGGTATCAAATCGAATAATTAATTTTGTGAATCATTTCACCCCTGGAGGGCGGCACAGTGGCGCAGTGGGTAGCGCTGTCGCCTCACAGCAAGAATGGCCTGGGTTTGATTCCTGGCCGGGTGACCAGCGTCATTTCTGTGTGGAGTTTGCCTGTTCTCCCCGTGTCTGCGTGGGTTTCCTCCGGGTACTCCGGTTTCCTCCCACAGTCCAAAAACATGCAGTCAGGCTGATTGGATATGCTGAATTGCCCCTAGGTGTGAGTGTGTGACTGTGTATGTCTGTCTGCCCTGCGATGGACTGGCGACCTGTCCAGGGTGTATCCTGCCTTCCGCCCAATGACAGCTGGGATAGGCTCCAGCACCCCACCGAGACCCAGAAGGATAAGCGGTTTAGATGATGTATGTATGTATGTATGTATGTATGTATTTCACCCCTGGAAATGTGAAAATTTGCTTTATGATTTGAGTGTAAATACATATGAATGAGTTCACTGTCGCTGAAGTTTAGCATTTTTTCCTGTGTTTAATTCATGTTGAGCTCTGATAGCATGGTTATAACAACCACTCAAGCCTGGCACCGACTTCACCTCTCTCTCTCTCTCTATCTCAGACACTCTGGCTGGAGTTGATGTGAAGTTATTTAACAATAGAGCCCCTCCAGTCGTTTATGGTTGAGTTCTCCAGAGCGACAGTGAGTCCTCTGAGCAGAACGTCCATCCGATCGTCCGTCAGAGCTCCGTTTGTTCCTCTCTGGCCGGTTTGAATGGGCCTTTTGTTGTGGAGATGTAAATGTTTGTGCGTGACGTGGCTGTTCAGTATTGTTCATTCATATTGAGCTGTGAGAGCCGTAACAGGTCCTGATTAAACCCCTCAGATAAAGAACAGGGCTGAGTTCCATACACAGAGAACCTACACAGTGGAACGTTATAACACGTCAGCACCTGCTCAGGACCTTCGTTCTCTTTACAGCCTTACTTTCCTTCTTTCTTTCTTTCTTTCTTTCTTGCCTTTGTTTTTTCTCTTTGTCTTTTTCTAACTTCTTTTCTTCTTGCGTTCTTCTGGTTTTTCCTTCATTCTGGCTTTTTCTTTTAGCTTTCTAGCCTCTTTCGTTGTGTCTGTCTTTCTTTCTGTGTGATCTCTGTGTCTTTATATAGGACCTATAAACTCTGATGTCAGTCCTGAGATCAGCTTTGTAATGGAACAGTCGGACTGTTGAGCTGCACAATACTGTTCGTTAATAATGTAGGCTACGATATGCAAATCAGCCGTCCAGCCATCCAGTTTTATTGTGTTGTGTACATGATTGAGAGAGGTGGGGAGGACAGAGAGGAGGGAAGCTGGAAGACCTTCCGTGTTTTAGGCAAATGAGGTGGAAAAAAGAGAGTCTGTGTTGGAGCAGGAGTGGGCAAATACACAAACTGCCCTGAATAGGGGCAGAAAGAGGAGCAGGAGGGGTGTATTGATGGATGGGAGGGGCATATGGAGAATGGGAGGGGTAAATGTAGGGGTAGGAGGAGCATATCGTCACTGTCCAAAAAAAGGTTTTTAGTTTTCTGCATAACTTGAGCTCAGCAGGCAGCTTTTACATTGTGTGAAAATTTCATGATGATCAATAGAAGTGCTCCAAAATGTATTTAAATAAAAACTACGACGATATGGAGATCTAGGAGGACCACAAGGAGGAGTGGGAGGGGCATATGGAGGAGTAGCAGGGCCATATAGAGGAGTAGGAGTGGTATATGGAGGGATGAGAAGAGCATTAGGCGATGTAGGAGGAGCATAAGGAAAGATAGGAAGATCATATAAATGGATACGAGGGGCATATGGAGGAGTAGGAGGGGTATATGATGGGGTGGAGGGGCATATAGAGGAGCAGGAGGTGTATATAGAGGGATTTTAGAGCATTAGGCAATACAGGAGGGGCCTATGGAGGAGTGGGAGGGGCATAAGGAGATATAGGAGGAATATATGGTGGGGGAGGGGCATATGGAGGAGTAGGAGGGGCATATAGAGGAGTAGGAGTGGTATATGGAGGGGTTGGAGGGGCATATAGAGGAGCAAGAGTGGAATATGGAGGGATGAGAAGAGCATTAGGCGATATAGGAGGAGCATATAAAGGAGTAGGAGGAGCATAAGGAGAGATAGGAGGATCATATAAAGGGATACGAGGGGCATATGGAGGAGTAGGAGGGGTATATGACGGGGTTGGAGGGGCATATAGAGCAGGAGGGGTATATAGAGGGATAAGAAGAGCATTAAGCGACATAGGAGGAGCATATAGAGGAGTAGGAGGAGCATAAGGAGAAATAGGATGGTCATTTGGAGGGGTGTGAGGGACGTACGGGGGTGACAGGGACATATGGAGAGATAGGAGGACCATATAAAGGGATACGAAGGGCATATGGAGGAGTAGGAGGAGCATAAGGAGAAATGGGACAGGCATTTGCAGGGGTGTGGGTGTGTATGGGGGGTGACAGGGACATATGAAGGGATAGGACGGGCATATGGAGAGGTGCAAGGGACGAGGGAGGGTGGCAGGGGCATAAGGAGGGAAAAAAGGGGCAAATGGATCTATAGGAGGGGTACACAGTGGGGTAGGGGGGGGCATATGGCGGGGTATGAGGCTGTAAGTTAAGCTGATGGAGCTGGTGAATAAAGCACGGCTGCAGATGGAGAATCCAGGCTGCAGAAACGTTGCTGGCAGCGATGGATAGAATCCTGTGACCTTCGGTTATGTAACTGCTAGGTGTGTGTGTGTGTGTATGTGTGTGAGAGAGAGAGAGAGAGAGTGAGAGAGAGAGAGATTTGAAAGAGTGGATTCATGGCTGCAATCACTAGGTTTAGTCTACAATACTGATTAATGAATCAGAAAAAATAAGAATGTCTTTGGAAAAGCATTTAATCTGACGTGTCCCGTCTCCTTCATCCAACTGCAGCTGAAAACAATCGAAAAAGGACCCAGGAGAACTGGAGTGGAGGGAAAGAGCCTCTCTCTCTCTCTCTCTCTCTCTCTCTCTCTCTCTCTCTCTGTTATGTAACAGGTTCTACTGCTGGAGTTTTTTCTCTCTAATTACAGCCTCTTGTGCTCTTTGCTCTGATTTTTTTTTTCCTCCTAAAAGTCCTGGCAGAGAAAGTTTCCACAGTGGATTTGTGGCTGGAGCTGCCGGCCGTCGGGGTTTTGGAATAATTTTAGCCTGTGACTCCTCTGGATCACACGTCCCGCATTCCACAGCAATTAATGGGAGCTGATGCAATTTAATTGAACGCAGATGATTCAAACGCTCCTCTTTTATTCGCCTTCTCCAGCTCAGAGTGCAACAGATGTCTTTTAATGAATTAATAAACATTTTTCATTTTGCCAGTTCATAATAGGACTAACACCATGCCGTGCAACAGCTGTGAAGCTGATGCAGAAAAATGCCTATAAACGTGAAGTTATGTTTGTTCATAAGGCGCATTTAAGAATGACTAATCCTGATCAAACTTCTTTAAAACAGATGGAACTTAAAACAGGAGAAATAAAAGAATGAGCCATTCGCTGAAATAAGAACACAAACATTTTCACAAAAATGTGAATTTAGATCAAGTATGATTTGAAAAACACCAGCTGTCCTGTACAATATGTGAAGATTGTACCAAAATTGCTTAATAAAATCTCATAGTATTTATTTATGTTAAAATTTAAGACTTTTTTCTCCTGTTTACCATTTTAGAAATTTGAGGAAATGTTACACGCATGAAAATACCCAAGTGCACAAACTAATGTGCTGCTCTCTTTTCCTGTTTCTCTGAAGGTTCTTCTGTGGACACCGTCATTCAGACGTGGATTATTATGGATTTGAGGCTCGGACCTTTGGACAGTTTTGTTTCCTGACCTCTTTTCCCGGGAAAGCCAGTGTACTGAAAGGACTGACCCTCTTATTGGGCAGAGAGGAAAAAGCAACATCCTCTTGGGTTGAGTGGAAAACCTCCTGGAATACCAGTGCCCTAAACGGACTGACCCTTCGCCCGTTTGTTTGGATTGTATTTGTGTGGATTGTTGTCACCATGCCGATTCTGAAGCAGCTCGTGTCCGGCTCGTCTCAGTCCAAGCGACGCTCCCGGGCCGATCTGACGGCCGAGATGATCAGCGCTCCGCTGGGCGATTTCCGCCACACCATGCACGTGGGCCGTGGAGGCGATGCCTTCGGGGACACTTCCTTCCTGAGCAGCCGGTCTGGAGAACCACCTCGGGATTCGCAACCCCAGCAGAACTCACCCAAGCAGGGCCTGCTGTCCCGCACCTTCAGGAGCAGCAAGCGCTCGCAGTCCGTCAACCGCACGGACAAGAACGAAAACACCAAAACGCCACCCTCTAGTGGCTCACCAGGTTACGTGAAGACGGCCATCTCTCTTCCGTACCTTAACAATGAGGATACAAACCAGGCCAGTAGAGGAGGAGGACCCAACCTGCCCAAGAGTGTCTCTTCCAGCCCAGTCAAGAACATTACAGAAGTTGACCAAAAGCCGGCCAGTTTTGCAGCCAGAAGCGACCCGGAGCTGGACGAGCACAACTTCGGCGTGCTGACTGACTTGCCCGTGTCTTTGTCGCCCCCTTGCGGTGGCGGGATGAAGCACGCCGAGTCCATCCTTTCATTCCACGTGGACCTGGGTCCCTCCATGCTTGGAGACATTCTCGGTGTCATGGACAAGAAGGTGTGGGATGAAGCTGACTTTGGCTATGAGGAAGATCACAGCTTGCCCACATCCCGTCCAATCAGAGAGCCCGAGGAGGAGAAGGAGGCGGCGTCTCCAGTGCATCTTCCCATGCTTCAAGGCCGAAACGAACAGCAGCACCTGGACAGTTGCTCCATGTCCAGCTCGGGATCCGTGGATGAAAAACCCAACAACCACAATACGGACAGCGGCAAGAACAGAGCCACGGACGACAGGGATTTCACCTACATGGATGAGGATGACGATGACGAGATCAGAGTCTGAAGACACGTGGAAGGAATGAGGAGAATTTCGGAATGTGATTTTTGATGGTTGTACATGGGAAAACAGCATAAACTGGACAAGAGACTTGGGGGCCACCTCAGACTGGACAGGCTTTTGACTGTGGAAGGTTGGAGGGCGGAAGGGTTCCTGTGTTACAGGAATAGTTTGGTGAAAAATTAAATTTACACAACATTTTTCTCCCTAACCCCAAGTGCACTCAGTCAGCCAAGACATGTTGGTGTCTGAGGTGTGCTTCTTTGGTTTTAGCGCTGGAGCTACAAGGCTAATGTCGCTAACAGGTAATGGAACATGCCAATTAGATGATCTAAATGATCTAAATAAACTTGCTTATGTGGTTTCCGGTATTCTGTGTCTATAAAAATAAAAACGTTTCGGTTCGTGGCTAAAGCTGCTTTAAGTCACTATGTAGTTTTGTCAGTATTTCCAGATAAAAAACTAATGAAGGAAACTTCAGACACCAAACATGTCTTGGCTGGTCGACTTCATTTGCGGTCAGAAGGGGGGAATAAGTGGGGGATTATTGCCAAACTATTACTTCAAGGAGAGACCATGTGGAGGAACTAACACTACAGATCTCAGCACTACAGTTCTTCACTCTAGAACCTGTTTCAGTAATGCTGACTGTTCATTACAGGTCTGTTTAATGATTGAGAGTCTGTTTTAAATGTGTGTAGAGACCGCAGAGTGCAGTAACTGAGCTGAGATGTTCAGGAGACACAAAGTGCTGGATGAAAACTTTCCACATGCAAACACTCATGACCTCCCACGACCTCCGTCTGACCACGTTAACAGCTCCTCGGCCTCTTCGCTCCGTCTGCCGACCGTCTTCCCACCGCTGCCTTAAATCGGGAGCTTCCTGTGTTTGACAGTCTGTCTCAGAGCTTTACAGTTTTCACACTAAACTGAAACCATCAGCTTTTTGCACAGCCGTGTCAGAGAGAGTTCTCACACTTATCTAGAACCGTTCTTATCCCCCTTCTGCTCCTATACGAGTGTGTAAAAATGACCTCTCAGAAAGAGAAATCATTTAAAAACTAGTTAATATCTCTAATATTTCTCATTTTGAGATGCACTCTTAGGAAAGAGGGTTCTGTGCAGCACCAAAAACCTAAAAAGCTTTAGCAGAACCCCTTTTAGTGCTATATACACTCTTTAAAAAAAAAAGATGGTTCCTCAAGGGTTCTGTAGTAAAGAAAATGATTCTATGTAGAACCAAAACCACTCATTTGCATGCATAAATGCTTCTTTCCATGGCTTTATAGAACTTTGTTGAAAATGGTTCTGTATAGCACCAAAAAGGGTTCTTTTGTTATGATGTCAAGCATGTAACAACAGAAGAACCCTTTTTGGTGCTATATAGAACCATATACACTCATTGCAAACATAGAACCATATATAACTTACCAAAAAGGGTTCTGCTCTTCCACACTGTAATAATAGCAGAACGCTTTTTGGTGCTATATAGAACAATATACAACATATTCTCCATCAATCTAAAGAACCATTTTTCTATGTAGAGAACCTTTTGAGCATGCAAAGGGTACTGTGAGTGTTCATGGTTCTATATAGAACCATTGCCTTTACTTAAGAACCCTTGTGTCTTTTTTAAGAGCCCTTTTTCAAAAGAACTTCTTTAAAGAAAGAACCATATATAACAAGTTTTTCATCGTGCCAAGTAATATTTATACATGCAGATGGTTCTTTAAGTGTTCATGGTTCTATATGTATAAAACCACTGCCTTTACTAAAGAACCCTTGAAGAACCACTGTTTGTTAAGGATGTATAACAGCGCTGTGCAATTGTTCGACCCATTTCTACACATTTTATGTAGAGAAATGATCTCATTCCTTTGGCAGATGCTGCTTTCCAGCGTTACTTCTTTGAACAGTTTGTCTGATTCTCATCTATTTTTGTATTTTTCTAATTTCACTGGATAAAATGACGTAGAAAGGGGGGAAATGTGTAGAAATAAGCTAAATAATCATGTTGCATTCTTACATCATCCTCATAATGGGAAATATTAGATGACTAGATTTGTTGACTAGATTTAAGACAAGTTTACTTAACAAGCCATCATTATATAGAGTGTATGCAGATCTGAGAGTTAGAGGATCTCCTGTAAGGTCAGACGCAGGTCTGATCCAGGGAGGGGCACTAATAGAGAATTAATGACCAACAGGGATCTAACAGCAGTGAGGGGTGTGGTTTACTGTGCAAAGAGTGCACGACCATTCAGAAGATTGGAATCACTGTTTTCAGGACATACAATGAAACATGCACAATGACTCTAATGAGTCTAATATTCTATTGAATTCAGTCTGTTTGTAGGAAGCTGTAGTTTTCAGTGATAAGCAGAGCTGCAGATGATTCTATAATGATTACGAAAGCTGTACAGCGTAGATAATATAACCTAATAATAACATTAATATGCAGATTGACCCATATTTGAGAAGCAGTGATCAAACAGCTACTCATACACTCTTAAACAGGATTAGAGAAAAGACTATGGTTCTATGTAGAACCATGAACACTCATGCCTTAATGGTTTTGTGCATGGTGAAATGGTTCTTCAGATTGGTGGAGAATGTGTATTATGTGGTTCTAAATTGAGCCTTTTTGAAAATGGTTCCATATAGCACCAAAAACGGTTCTGCTACTGCTACGATGTCAAGCTTGTAACAATGGAAGAACCCTGTTTGGTGCTATATAGAACACGTTCTCCATCAATCTGAAAAACGATTTAAGCATGCACATGGCTCTATATAGAAATCATGGTTCTAAATAGACACCATTCTTTACTAAAGAACCCTTGAAGAACTGACTTTTTTAAGAGTGTAGTAATTACATGGCTATAAATAGATAATTACTTTATTATTTAATAAAATTAGTTCATTATTTTAACCAGAACTACTAATTGTTCCTAGAATTATTATCTAAAACTGTCAGATTAGGTTTTGATGTCATCTGTCTGCACATTAATACGACATGTGATTCCAAACTGTTGAAGGTTGGTGTAGAAGTGCCTGTGTTTTGGGGAAGAAAGACTGATTTGAGTTTGATGATGAGTCATTAAATACAGCTTATAAGGACACATACAGATGTAAACACTACAGATATACTCTAAACGTGTAGAGCAGAGACGGTCAGATCCAGCAGGTCAGTGTCTTCACTGCTTGAAAACTCCAGATTCGACTCTTTGATTTGTTTTATCCAGGCTCCGCCCACAAATGTGTTCTTTCACAGCTGCTCTTGTGAGGTCGAACATTTAGGGAGTACTTTTTTGTTGATAGTCATGATTTTTCGGGATAAACATCATCAAAGCTGACAGTTCACCAGCTGCAGTTACTTTAGCACTGGTACACTCTCAGAAAATGAAGTGTCCCGATTCAGGGGGTGCGTCCTTCGGAAGCTGCATTTGAAGGCCGATTGCGTCACAGCGGCGTAAGTAGGCTGTCCCATTTCGAAGCCTCCTTCATATGCGGCCGAGAAACGTGTACTTCTTTTCCATGGCAATGAAGGATCCAACAGGTGGATCCTTCGCCAGCCAACATATCCCGAGGTTCACTGCGTGCCGGCAAGGATTCGAGAACATGGCGGCATCAACAGAGAAGTGAACGGCGGCTAAGGAGAGCTTTTAGATATAAGTATTGGGTTTAAACTGAGGCGAATGGCTAACGATACAAAGGTAAAAAAGTAGGTGACGGTTAAGCATCTCCAACTCTAATAAACGAAAAAATGAACAACTAAAATCAAACTTTCTGGCTCCATCATTAAAGAACTTTAAAATAACTTGACAAGAACGGTGTTTTGTGGCGCAACGGTAAAGGCGGGAACAGCGGTATTGTGACGCAAACAGGAAATCAGCCGTAGAGCCGACCATCTCATTTCGGTTCAGCCTTCGTGGATCTAAGCAGCCTTCAAATGCAGCCTCCGAAGGATCCAGCCCCTGAATTGGGATGCACTGAAGGTGTCAAAAAGAGATCCATAGAAGAACCAATTTTGGCTCCCTAAAGAACCTTTCAAATGTGCCTTTGAAGCCAAGTCCCCTAATTCCCTTTCAGTTTAGTGCTTTTAATTGAGATTTTCAAGGAAGTTGAAATGTTCTTTAGGGAACGTTTCTCTCCAGCTTTTCACTCCTCTCTGGAGTGATGCAGTAGAAGAACCACTTTCGGTTCCTGTCAGAGGATGGTAGTTATGTAAGTTAGCCTCCCGCTGCTGCAGCATGACTGAAGATGCTCTAACAGAAGAAATAAGTGAAAACACCATGAGTTAAATCAGTGAACACACTAAACGGCGCTGGATCTGGCCGTCTCAGAGGTTCTGCCTGTGCTCTCTCTGCTGCTGGACGTCCTGTCTTTACCTTCTATATTTATCCACATGTTCTGAACTGCATTTCTGGGGAGCGTCCACAAAGCAGTTAGCCAGATAATTTAACCCGAAACCCGAGTCTGTCCACTAAGAGAGGAAGTCGTGGATGTTCATACTGGACAAACCTCAGTTTGGGCTCAAGATGTCCAGCTAAACTGGGAAATCCAGGCTCTACAGTCTGAATCTGCAGGATTTCCCAGTTAGCTGGAGAACTTAAACCCAAAATTAGATCTGTCCAATAAGAGGAAACACAATGGACATCTCTACTGGACAAACCAGGCAAGCTGAGAAATCCTGAAGATGATGTGTTATAATAACGCCTTTGTTTCTGAAGCTTTTTATGTAAAACTATATATCTATACAAAGCTGTCAATCAGTTCTGTGATCACAGTGAGGTACAGACTTCAGCCAATCAGGGGACAGATTGGTTCTGTAAAGGCTACATTTACTTCTGTAGATTCTGTTCAGTAAATCTCTGTTTATATTCCGTCTCAGTTTCTTTCACCATCACCATCCACACGGTTCACAGTGCATTCTGGGAAATGGACACTCTTAAAAAAGATGGTTCTTCAAGGGTTCTTCAGTAAAGAAAATGTATATAGAACCATGAACACACAAAGAACCCTCTGCATGATTAAAGAGTTCTTTGCATCATGAAAAGGTTCTTCAGATTGATGGAAGATGTGCATGAATGCACAGCACATTGCCCATCAGTCTGAAGAACCCAAAGAGCACTTGCATCATGCAGAGGGTTCTTTGAGTAGTCATGGTTCTATTTATCACCAAGTTCTTTACTAAAGAACCCTTGAAACACCAGAGACCAGTATATTAAGCATGAACCATATTAGCTCACAACACATCTGGAGTTTAAAGGGTTGTTTTGAATGTTCTAGCGGGTTATTTTAATGCGTGTTTGAATCATTTGTGTTATTTTACGTCACTGATCAGATCCGGTTCTGCTGTAAGCCACAGTGAAGCTTGATCTAGTGGAGAACGAAAGGACTGGACCACCATAAATCAGCGCTTCTAACACATGGACCAACAGAACTCTCAGTTGTGACTGACTTCCCTTAACCAGACCTGAATTGTTTTTATCTTTTCTCCGTTTTTTTTTCCATTTCTCTCGCTCATATTTGTCTTTGAAACACAGACGCTAAAGGTGACCTTGGAGGAAATGTGGCCTTTTCTCTTCTTCTTATGCACTCGCTGTCTCTCTGTTTGTTCTGTGGAAGTTCTTCTGTTTCAGGAACAGAAACAGTCACAGTCATTCTTCATTAGAGTGTGTTGAGTGGTGGAGTCTGTATGTGAGGAAAGCTCAGCGGAAAGTCTAAAAAGAGTAACGGGTTGTTGAAATGGAAGCTCCAAGAGCTCCTGGGTTGGAAAGCACCTGCATGAGGATCCTGTGCACTCAAAACAGACCTGCTTTAAAACAGCACAGATTTATAACAGACTGCATGGTCAGTTAAGGACCACACATTTTGTGTTAGGCCAAAAACAGACTTAATGCAAGTATGAAAACGTAAATGATTGTCTGGCCAGCATGATGCAAATACACAGCCCGTCTGTACAAACTAAAGGTGCATTCTTACATTACTGTGGTAGATCAAACATTCAGTACTCAAGAGTGCAATAGAGGAGAAATCTGAGAACCTATAAACGGGATCTACTGTTATTCCAACAGAATGAACCAGAGAACCTATAAACGGGATCTACTGTTATTCCAACAGAACAAACCAGAGAACCTATAAACGGGATCTGCTGTTATTCCAACAGAACAAACCAGAGAACCTACAAACTGGACCTACTTTTATTCCAACAGAACAAACCAGAGAGCCTATAAATGGGATCTACTGTCATTCCAACAGAACAAATCAGAGTGTATGTAAACAGGTTCTACTCTTATTCTAACAGAACAAATCAGAATGCTTGTAAACAGGATCTACTCTTATTCTAACAGACAAAGTAGAGCATCTGTACATGGGAT